CTCTCTCTCTCTCTCAGTAAGAGCCATCATTATCCCTACATACAGCTGGTGTTGAGGGGAGAACCAGCTCCAGGTTAGCCTAGCACTTTATAGTAACTGTACCCTTGTTTATACAGAATTTCCCTATCAAAGCAAGTGCAGCTGTTGAATCAGAGAAAACATTGCCTTGATGCAGTGGATCCTTCTGAGACACAGAAGCTGAAAGAAGGAAGAGAGACTGAAAGAAGGAAGAGAGACTGGTGGCAGGTACATCATACTGACCTGTCCAAAAGCTGGTTTATTCTCTGCAGGATAAGCAGTCTGATTTTTTTTTTCTTTTGTTTTCCTTGTGGATCTAATAAAGTTGGAAATGCGGATGGGCTGCTTCGAAGAAGTCCTACAGTATAAAACTCCCTCCTCCTTTAGTTTGGATATGGTGTATTTCTTTTTAAATTGAAAAAAAAAAACCTCACAAACCCAAAAGGGTACAAACAGAAAGGAAGTTTTTCTTTATAATTAGGGCATTCAAAGGTTCTGTAAGGGTTGTGATAGAAACAATTAATAGGCATTGCTTTTGTGTGAGACAGGGCCTACTTAAGTAGGTCGCAAGGCTGGTAGCCAGGAGACCTACTTTCTTTTCTTAGCTTTGCTACTTATCCATTCTGTGATCTTGGGCAAGTACCTTCATTTTTGTTCCTTTATTTCTTTACTATTTTTTCCCCCTTGCAGGTCCATTCACACTGGCAGGGAAAAAGTTTCTCACTTATGTGCCCTGCACATAAAAAGGGACACAACCTTAACTGGAAGTTTGAGGCCCTCTTACACCAGAATGCTCTCCGTGGCTGCTTTGCTGTAAAAAATCATGCAGGAATATGGATTACTTTGTGGGTTTGCTGTGTGAGCATTTCACAAGGTACCTGTAAAAGAAAAGGCACGTTTTAGATAAAGACCTCCAATGGAGGTCAGGTTGACAAGGTTTCTAAACTGACTGAAATTCCCACACATCTGCCTGGAGATGATGAGTGCATTGGGGAGGTGACCATATGTAGCTGATCTGGTGTTGTTGGGGTGGTTTCTGGGATGGAGGCGTTTCCAGGGCTGCTGGAGCACCCCTCTCCTTTGGCTGGCTGCAGCAAGATCTTTGTAAGGATGGGATGAGACTGCAGGGAAGGTGTTTTCAATGGCTTTTTGCCACTGCTTAATCCAAATGGCTTTATGACTGGCTGATGATGAGTTGTTATCACCTGAAGGAAAACACCCAGGAAGCCTGAGAGAGAGGTGTCCTCTCAGCTGTTGGAGCATGAGCTGTCCCAGCAAGCTGTAATTGTGAATCATCCATGTTACTGTCTCATTGAGTCATGAGAAATGATAGATTAGGAAACGTAGGAATTAAATTAACATAGGAATTATGCCAAAAGCCAAAAATGGAGCATGTCTGTGGCATTTTGGGGTTTTTGTCTTTCTTCTTTGTTGATTTTTTACACTGAACCAAAACCTTTACTGTGAAACTTTTTTTTGCTGTTTTTCCTGGCATTAGGAGAACAAAGTGGCTGTGAACCGTGTACATGTGTTTGCTTACAACTTTTAGAGAATTCTTAGACCATCAGATTGTGATGCATGGTAAAAATCCTGATGCTATGTATGACTGTGGTCTCGTTCACCTCTAAAAAGAAATAAATAAAAAAGAGCAGGGGAAGGAACCAGTTTAGCTTTCTACTTCAAGCCCTATGTTTCTTCTTCTGTGATTCCTTCATGTTTTTTACTGAGATGGATTTGTATTTTAAAAATGTACCAAAAAATAATGCCTTAACCTTTACATACATAACCTGGAAAATATGAAGCCTATATTTTTGTATGATGTCTTCATAAGGGAGAAAATAGGTTGGAAAATTGGCTTAGTTTATTAGAAATGTACTTGTCTCTTTCATATGGCTTTATAGAGTGTTTCACATAATTAAATTTAAGCCTCTACAGTGTTTCAGATGATAAAATTTCACAGAATCACCAGGTTGGAAGAGACCTTAAAGATCAGCAAGCCCAACCCATGCCCTAACAGCTCAACTAAACACTGGCCCTGAGTGCCACACCCAGTCTTGTTTCCAAACACATCCAGGGATGATGACTCCACCACCTCCCCGGGCAGATAATTCCAGTACTTTATCACTTTTTCTGTGAAAAACTTTTTCCTAATATCCAACCTATATTTCCCTTGGCGCAGCTTGAGACTGTGTCCTCTGGTTCTGTCATCTGCTGCCTGGAGAAAGAGACCAACCCCACCTGGCTACAGTGGACTTTCAGGGAGTTGTAGAGAGTGATAAGGTCACCTCTGAATCTGCTTTTCTGCAGGCTAAACACCCCCAGCTCCCTCAGTCGTTCCTCATAGGGCTTGTGTTCCAGGCCCCTCACCTGCCTTGCTGCCCTCCTCTGGACAGATTTCCCACTCCGTGGCCTTGTATTTGGCTAGTGATTAAAGAATGGCTTAACTTGCAACAGTTACTCAACATGTATTGTTTATCAAATGGTAATTGCTGTTTTCTCTTGATCTTGAGAAATTTATTTTTGATCCACATGTATAATGCTGTATGCTGATATTAAGCTTGTCACCTGGAAATAAGAAGCATTCTGTGGTGGTGACAGTGTTGAAGTGTATAGCAATGGAGCTTTTCTTGCAATGAAATCGAATGATACCAAACCCTGAGCAAAGCATTGCACTACTCTGTTTACAGTAACAGTGGAAATGTTATGGTCAGTCACGGTGCTCTTGCCTCACCAAGTTGTGACTCAGCACCGTGTTAAAAAGGCAGAAGTACAGACAGGTCAGGAAAATTCCTGAAATTAAATTGCTGCCTAGACTCTGGGCAGGCCTCTGGGATTTACCCTGGCATTTTGGGTTAACCTGAAAGGGTTTCCTTCTTGTTGGCTCCTCTGATCTTCTGTTTTTAAGTAGTACAGGAGAATGGAGATGACTGTGATTCTGCAGTTCCTACCAGGGTTTTTGTACATCTGGCTCTGTATAATTTAGCCAGTAATAGCTGTGGTAGTTTACAGTTCTCTGTACTTTTCAGTACTGGTAAAAAAAAAAAAATTTGTTTTTTGTCAAAAGAACTAAGTTGACTTTAAGCATGGTTTTTGATTTTTATATAAAACCCTGCCTATTTGTACATAAGCTGCTCCAAAAGGGGTATTTCAGTGCTTGGGTCTCTAGGGGTACCTCACTCCACATTCTCAAGTCTTCTTGTAGGCAAAAGGAAGAAAAACAAAGGAAACCTCCCAATCCTACAAGGTCTCTTGTCTCATCAGGGATGGGGAATGGTATCTGTGAACAAAGACAAAAATGCCCCAACTAGCAGGACTTGATGACACAGTGAGAAAAGCGAGTGTTAGCAGTGTGTTAGCTCCCACTCACACTCACTTAGCACACACTCAGCTTGCACTCCCTCCCTCCACAGCTCTGCTACAGCACCACTGGCTTTGGGAAGTGGTGAGAGTCGTGTGTATGTACATATGCATTACCTTGTTGGAGCGAGGTCAGTTTAAATGCAGCCTATTAAATTATTTACAGAAGACAGTTGGCCGACCCATTGTGCTGTGTTAGTGGGAGCCAAAGGTCGCTTTGGTGTGCCTGCTTGATTCATAGGGTAATCTGATACAGTACTTAGCTTTTTGCCTCCCAGTCAGTGGGTTAAACCTTATCCTCTTATTATGAGTCAGAGAGCCATAAGTTTCGGAAAAAGCCAGAGCCTTTGTTTTTAATGGTTTTGAAGAGGCTGTGCAGCAGAATCCAGAGGGCTGCGGTAGCATCTGCCAAGGGGTTGGGGCGTGTTTTGCAGTAGTGTAAATCTGACTGGCAGCCCGGGAGCCCGAACACTTCACCCTTCTTTTTCTTATGATCCTTGTCCTTTCGATAACATCATCTGCAGCCGTCAGGACGTTAAGGCGTTAATGTTTGTTCTTCAGATAAAGGCTTTGGTTTTGTGCTCTTTTTCCTCTTCTCCCCCCCGCTTCTCCCCCAGATTCCTCACTACCACCATCTCCTTGAGGATTCACTGAGCTGACCTTAGTGGCTGTCTCCCATTCAACTATATTTTTTTTAACTGCAAGACAGAAACTTGTGTTTGTTTGGGGCTTTTTGTCAACTTTTATCTTGGTGACCAATTCCAGCAAAACTCTTGGGTTTTGGGGTGCCTTGGTATACCAACTCCTGTCTGCTTTAAAATGCTCCCTTTGCCCCTCCATCTTGCAGGCTTATTCCCTTCTGGAAGCAGCATTGCTATTGGCATGCAGGGCAAGCACTCCAGCTTTCAGTAGTGCCTGACTTTTTAAAACTTTCACACTGTGGAGTGCTTTTCCTAGCTACTAGTTTAAAGAGAAGGCAGCTGGGAGCAAAACCTGTTTTATGAGCTGTAGTGACCCCAGTGAGAGCCCGATCACTAAGTATCTGCTCAGGTTTTGTTTATATCTATGCACCTTTATTTAGTTTCTTTTCAAATGTACCACCAATTACGGGGGCACTAATGTTTTCAGCACGCTGTTCAGGATGCTTTTGGTGTGGAAAAGCTCCAGGATTTTATTTCCCCCCTCTCCAAGTCCACAGAGGCGCGCAAGTGTTTTCCCATTTCTGCACGCAGAGTTCAGAAGTTTGTGCTGCCGCTGAGCTGGCTGAGGAAAGGAGGAGTTTTGCTTTTAGGAGAGCGAGCCTATCATATTTCACTCTAATCCTAAGCGATAGCCACGCAGTCGGTTTTATTGTTAGAAGAGCCTTCCTGGAGCTCCGCACCGGGCTTTTCTGTGAGAGAGCAGGGCAGCCGGAGTGAGGCGGCAGAAGTGCAGCCGCTTTATTGTCCCTCGTGAGCAGAGCCGTGCCAAGGCGTGATCCCTGCCTGCTCTTCCTCCTCCTGGGCTGCTCCTGATGAGCCAGAAGAGGGCACGGAATTGCCTGCACGCTCCTGGGCAGCGATGCCAGGGAGACGAGTGGAGCTACAGTTTCTGCTGTTGAGTGGAGAATGGGGAAAACACTTGTCTCGGTGCTGTGCTCTGCTCAGCCCTTGCATGCTCGGCTGAGCTGCTGCAAGGTGCCACTTTCTGCTGCTTTTCTCCCCTTTGTTTTCTTTGGCAGCTCCCTAAGTGCTGTATCGAAACAGCTTCGGGGGAGCTGCGCTGGCACAGCCACCTACCTCCATACTGGTGCTGGTCTAAAGGCAGCGAGGAGAAGCCTGGACTGAAGTCGGGGTGAGTTTGTTCAGCCTCCCGCGAAAACCTGAGAAAAGGGGACGGGAACAATTTCAGAGAGGTCTCTTTGGAACCGGCGCCAGTGGCTGGCGTGAAAGAAGATGAAAAAGGAGTGTGTTTCGAGATCTTTCAAACTCAAACAAAACCCAGGCTCCCTCTCGCGTGCTGTCAGCTGGATAAATTTCTCGTCCTTGTCAAGGCAGACAAAGAGATTGTTTCGCAGCGATGGGGAGCTCTCCTCCATGTGCGTGCAGCAGGTAGACGAGGACGACGAGACCTGGACGTACCGGAGCCAGGCGAGGAAAGGTGACTTGCTTTCTCTTTAACCCTTGCGGTTGCTGCCGAAGTGCCAGTCCCGCTCCATGCGGCTCTGTCCCGCTGCTCCCGTCCCCCCGGGGCCAGGAGCCGCAGGTGGGGACGAGGAGGAGGAGGAGAAGGAGGGCAGCACAAAAGCTGAGGTGCAGCACTGCCTTGCCAAGTTTATTGGGGGGTTAGATCTGTGAGAGCTTATAGTAATTAAGACGAAAAGGCTTTAATTTCCCATCTGGGTACTGATTGTGTGGGATATAGGTAAGTTTTGTTTATGTTTCTTGTAGCCTGTAGTCATTGGTGCCAGAGTCTTTGGGCAGGTGCAGCTAGAATCTCTCTTCAAAATGTGGAACCAAAAGCTATTTAAGACTCCACTTCTAAACGACTGGGTGGCTTTTCTTGGATGATTGCCTCATGGTCCTGCTGGGAAAAATTTTAAGTGTATTTTGTTTTATGAGGGCAGACTGAGAAGAGGTCCCAGATGCAAAATAAAAGAGATGATGAGAAAGTGATGGGAATTGCTCCACAGAGAGAAGGGGGCATCTAGAATACGAGATAAGCAGCTCTGACTGAACCCACGAAGTGTTCAGACCTGGAGTATATTTTATATGAGACTTCTAAAAAGTACTTTTATTTTTTTTTGTGCTTGTTTTTGAATGAAGTTTGTCAGGTCACTAAGTAAACAATTACCTCATATTTGCCATAAATCAAAAGAAATTTCAGAAGTTTGTTCACATGAGTTGGTGAGCAGGACCAGTATTTGGCTGGCAGGCAGCGGAGCGTGTGTGCACGCAAGGTTGAAAATACTCAGTAAAGTGAGTGATTTGGTTGTAATTTCTCTAGTGCTGCCAGAGCAGTAGTTTGTTAATAGAAAGTGTAAGGTTGACTCTGTTGTGCTGTAAGGTCACTTTTGTAAAAGCAAGCAGGCTCTCAAAGGGCATTTGATCTTCAAAGGGCCTTTTATTCCTTTTCATTTCTCGGAGCAATTAATAGCTGTTTGACCAGAATTTCACTTCCGTGTCAGAACAGATTGTGGCTTTAGTAAATGGTTTGTATGCAGGAACACTAACACAGGATGTATTGCTTGTGCTTTGCTCCCTGCATGCTAGGACACAACTTTAATCTGTGTTTTGAAGGTTGTTTTTTAACCTACTTCGCTACTGAAAAACTTCTTAAAAGGGTTTACAACCAGTAATTTTTACTTTTGACTGCTGGTGTATTGATATTGTCCAGCGGTGCCAGATTAGCTTCTAACGCCTGTGGGATGGGATCTTGCACGGATCAGAAGAACCATTGAGCCTTGCTGCTGGCTTCTATGCAACTTCCATGAAGTTTCTTGTGCTGCCTTCCTTAGCCTGTGCTCACGCTGCAGGGCAGAGAGGGGAAAGGAAGCTTTACTGATGGATTAATGGTGTATTAATTTTTCTGAGTGATTTACATAAAGAACCCATTGTACCGGCTGGAGGGGGAGGGAGAATTCCTCCTGTAATTGGGCAGCAAGCTATGAAAGCCTCCCTGCCTGCCTATAGAGGAGATGACAATATGTCACTTTGGAAGGGAAGGTGTAGGGAGGTGTAGATTATGCAGGGCTTATTTCCTCTTTGCTGGGAACAGTTTGACTCAACTTGTAAAATCTGCCTGGATCATAAATCTAACTGCATTTCTGTCTGACCAGGATCCTCTGCCAGACTGACAGGGATTGCCAGGGCTGAAGGGAGTGTGGGGTTATGTATTTGGGCAGGAAAAACTTGTCACAGCTGCAAGTCTTTTACCCTGGGCTGCGAGTCAGGCTTGCACGGTGTTGGAAGAGTTTGAGAATCCATACCTGGCAGAGTGCTCGTCTTAGGTTTGTGTTCAAAGGCAAAGCCGTGTGTGATAAATGGCCACTTGTGTTCTTGAATTAATTTGTTCCACTGCTGTGTTGCATTACTGCTTGCCAGCCTTTGTAAAACTGAGGGCTCAAAACCATATTGTCTTTGGTGCTCAAATTAACTACATCACTATATCAACACAAACTAGAAAGAAATGAGAGGCGCAGACATAGCAAGTGTTATATAGAAAACCAGACTATTTTAAGCTAGATGAAATTTTAATGGCTTTTCAGCTATCAGAATAGTTTTCCCTCCAGTTCTTGCTCAGGTAAACAGGTAAAAAAAGTAAGTCTGACAAATCACAGCCTCTCCATCTCCTAACTGTACATGTAAAGACAGGAGTGTTAATAACAGAATCTGGAAATGAAGAATTGTTGTTCTTTCTGAGCTCTTTCTCTTCCTGTCCTTTTAAACCTCTTCTTTTGCTGCTCCATTGCTCCTCCAGGCTCGGGTTGCATTCCCACGAGGCTGCTGGGTGACAGGCACAAGGCAGCATGTGTTGCGTGGTATTTCACCAGCAAAGTGGCTAATCTGCCTTGGCTGCAAAGTGGAGCTTGCACACAGTAGCGAGCGCAGACATTGGCTGCATTCCTCAGTTTGAAATGAGCACCAAGCACAAAAGTAGACGGGAGCTGCGAACCCGGGGCACTCCCGGTGTCCTGCGGGGCTGATCCCTGCGCACCTGCAAGTCAGGGGCTGCTGCTTCTCTCTTCTTTTTGAAACGTACACAGCAGTGCAGAGTGTTTTGGAGCCGGTAGCACCAATCAGACTTCGCATTTGATAAAGCTCTTAGTAGAACAGATGGAAAAAGTTGACAGTAAAATAAAGGTTTGGTTTTTGAAGCATTTCTTGCTCAGCCCTCTTCCTCCTCAGTCAGCTGGAGGGCCTTTGAAATGAGGGCACACTCTAACTCCCATGTTTCTTCTTTAATCAGAGTTTTTAGTTCACAGTTTTACTTTCCGGGGGAGCGTGTATTTTCAGAGTGAAGCTCAGAGCATTTTTTTCCTTTAAAAAACACTTTATTGGGAAAAGGCTGAGAGGAGTATTCTTTGAAATGAAAGTGCTTGGGTGTGTTGCAAAGGATTTCTGATGGGTGGAAGAATGGGACTGTGGTTCATGTGTGCCTTTGTTGTTTATCACAAGTACGACATAGCAAGTAACTCTGAATAGAGATAACACATGAGTTAGTTCATGGCACAGGCCTCACCATATTTACTTTAGTTTTTTTGGAAAGGAAATGAGTCACATGGCAGCATCAAAACAACTAAGCTTTTCTGGCCAGGTGCTGGAGAAGCACAACTAGCAATCCGGTCTGGCGACAAGTGACAATGCATCAGAAGAAGCTCTTAAACACAGAGGTTTTCCAAACTCTCCCCAGCTCCTGTCCCTGTTTATTGCTCTGATGTTTTACCCACTCCCTCCATTTCACTTGGTTGCTTTCCAATCATTCTGCATCGCAAAAGTTGAGAGTCTTGCCTGCTTTTTACTGCAGGTTATATTACCTGGAAAACTTATTTAAAGTCATTAGAGAAACCTTGTTTCTCAGGTAACTGCTGTATTTTAATGACTGATTAAACCCAGTTCAGAAGGTGGTAGCCACTGGTTTTCTGCTGTTTGCTGGCCAACTCTCAGTCTTTAATACAAAACGTGTGAAATGCCCATTTTTTCCTTGCAAAACCAGTCTAAATGAGAATTTGTTTTAATGGCAAAAGAAGTTTAAAATCACAAATCTTTGTGGGCTGAGCCTTTTGTGTCCTTGCAGTGTGTCTGATGGAAGCAATCCTAACATCCTGATGACAGCTCTGGCCAAAGCTGTCAGGTAAGTTCCTAATGACTTATCATGGTCTGAGAACATCACACTTACCAAGGGGTCAGATTTCCATAAACTGAACAATTATGGAATTGTCACAGTAGGAGTTTGTAGCATAATGCTGCCTCATTATGTCAGTAAAAATGATGCCCTTTAGTTATGCCTGTATACCTGTGGTTGGTTAAATTTGCATCATGTAAGTTTAATACTATCAGATGAGTTTTTCCTCGTGTTCCAGAGGCAGACTTGAGACTCAAGACCTTTTTGGTTTTTGGAGCTTGTATTTTCAGTGTTTCCTGTAGAAACTCAGGATAGAGATAGGCGAGATCAGAGTTGCCTATCTGTAGCACCAGAGCATCACCCTAGTCTTCAGTCCAAATGATTTTTAAATTCTAGGTTTCTAAGTCTAATGAATATCATTTACAAGGGGGTTTCAGCAACAGACAAGTAATCACATTTTTTTAGTAATGAGATGCAAGAGTACCAATAACTATTAAGTTTCTATATGCAAGTTTACCAAATCCAGACTTCTTGTTGCTATTCCAATGTAAAATCATTTTATTGGGTTTTTTCCCTGTATGTTATTACACAAGATCTTGTGTTCAAAGTGAGAAAAAGTCATTCCAGTTACTACATAGATAAAGGTCCATAAACCCAAAGGGAGCTGTTAGCATTTGTAGAAGCCATAACATGTGATGGATTGTAGTGTTGGGGCATGTGTGTCTGTGAAAAGGATTCTTGAAGCTTTGGGCAAGTCCATAAATAATCATTTATGGAAACCTCAAAAAGCATTTGTGTAAGAGCCTGGAGTAAGTCCAAAACAAATATTATATGCTTTATATACCTTTTTGTGAAAGACTTATTTTTTTGTTTGGGTTGTGGGTTTTGTTTGTTTTTGTTTTGTATGTTTTTGGGGAGGATATTTTTGGTTTTTTTTAAAAAATAAATTAATGTTTATTTAGTAAGTATAAGGATACAAATGCAAATATGAATGTTTGAAAGGAAAAAATAATGAGAGATTTGATAAAAAAGCCCATTTTCTGTCTTCTACTACCTTTTACATGTTGTAGGTTCGGTGTGCAAAGATAAAATTGGATATAGTTCTATGCATTTGTAACAATTGGTCAAGTTTATATCAAAGTTTTGTGGTTGAACTGTTGGATGTGCTTTTATGGAAGCACAGCTGGGAGCAGAGGTACTACTTCAATTACTGATGTATGTACTGTTTGTCTTAGCATATTTTATTTTGGCACAGCAGAGGGTTCTGTAAAACTTTCATTATATATAGTGGCAAACAAAAGTTTTCATGCTGAGGA